TCGAATTATAAAGCAATAATTCATTAGTTGCATACAACCAATTGCTTTTAAGCTTTACTACTAACATAAACAGTTCATATGTATCACAAGTACCATAGAAAACATCATGGTCAAGCCCAATTTTTTTATTTAAATGCCTTTATTAATTTAATTAGATAATTAGGTGAAATAACAAACATATAACAAATGTGCACAATAAATTCTCAGAAAATTACAGTAGCTTTCAAGTGCTCCCAATAGACTACTGTAAAAATTTCATATCATTGGAACAAGTATAACATCCTCTTCAAAAATGACAAGCTAGCAAGGTTTATTTTAGTAAAAACAGTTAACCCTATAGAAAAGTGTCAAGCAACAGATTCTATATTTTTCTTAGCTTCGCCCTAGTGCCAGAATACTATACAAATTTTTGCATGGCAATATGTTACTTATTTTTATCCCTATAAATTTCCTTAGAAAACACTATTTATTAATAGATAAATAGAAAGACCCTACTTCGATCAAGTTTACTGCTAGTTTATTATTTTTCTTAGCTAGAGAATGTCAACACAAGATTAGCAAAATTAGAATCATAATTTTATCACTTTCCTATCTCAAGTTATACATTTTACAAGATTGCAAACATTCAAAAAGTACTTATCTAGATACATTTATTCACCTAGAAAAATACCAGAAACAATGCATTTCATATTTTTATAAAATACTACACTTCATGAGGAATCCAACAAAATTTGGTTCACCAAAATTGGACACTCCTAGCTCTAGATATGATTTTCCAAAGTTAGCACAAAATCTGGAAAAGAAATAAACAAAACCCTAAACTGTAGTCGCTGACGCATGGGACCCACGGGTCAGCGGATCCACCTGTCAGCCGAACCGAGACAGGGGAGTGGTTTAACTGGCGCTAGCTCGCCAACGGCGAGCTTTCCGGTGAAACCAACCCCACAATAATGTTCCTCACACTCTCCCGCATCGACCGGTATAGGTGGTGGAAGCGCGGACGCACCGGAGCATGCTCGTCGCCGGCCATGGCAGCATGGCGGCACTGCGTGGAGGTGCGCCGGCCGTTACTGGCCACGGCAAGGCCCGGCGAGAAGCGCATGGGCTCCGCAGTGACCACGCGAACGTACCGAGGCTACCAGTTAGTTGGGAAGAGCCGACGGGGTTCATCCACGTGTGCGGTGGTGCAGCGGCGAGAGCGCAACGGCGCTAGCCGTCGTGTTCAACGCCGGCGAGGCTACGGTTCGTCGTAGGGTCACACTAGAAGCTAGGACACACCCTTATCTAGCGCTAACGCGAAGAAGATGGAAGGAGCAATGGAGCCGAGCAGCGGCGAGCTCGCTGTGAAGGCGGCCATGGAAACCGAGATTCCGGTGAGGACAAGAACGGCAAATTCGCCCTCACCGTGGCTTGCCTGGCCTTGCAGCTAGGTCGAGGAGGTAGAGAGGAAGATGGCGAAGTTGATGGTTAGCTGGAAGCGGCAATGGTGCGGCGGCGAGGGAACAAGGCGACGGTGGAGCACTGCGGTAGCTCGGCGGCGAGAGCACCTCCGCTGCGCGCGCAAGAGGGAGCAGCAGAGAGGAAGAGAGTGCGATGGAGTGAGTGAAATGAGCAGTGCGGCTTCACTGATATCGCATGCCAACCTGCCGCGACGGGGGCCCAACGCCGGCCAGCGGCGGCCACACGGCGGCCAGGCTATGTGCTCGGTCGGCCACCCACGGCGCGGCGACTGCGGCCATCAGCGCCCGACAGTGTGACTGACAGCGCAAAATGAGGATGGTTAAGCGCTTAATCCACGGTGAATTAGTGCACGACGTTAAAACAAAATTTGTAGAGCTACGTAAGGGCTACAATATTGCTATAGGAACCATCTCCTAATTCGCAATGGTCAGGAAGTTAAATCATCTCAAAGTCAGGCACATTGAAACGGTGAAATCAATTTGACTTACAAAAAATTTCTAAGTTTCAAAAATAGTACAATGTTGATACTTATGAGCCGTATTTGACCATGTTAGGCACAGAATTAGGCCTTGACCCAAAAATAAAAGTTGTTGCTCTAATCAAGTACTACAACTTTACTTAAGTGTGCACGGCCATGCAAACACTCTAGGCTATAGTTCAACTTAGGTCAAACATACAACTTGAAAATGATGAGTTACACTATAACTATGACTTAGAGACCAAACTAGCCTTAGTCATGAATACGAAAGTTGTTCCATGTGATATTCTAAACATGTTTAAGGTACTTCTAGGGTCCCACAACATTTTAGACATTGGTTACATGTAAACCCTAGCACATGTAAGGTATTTTAGCGACAACACATGCAATATAAGCCAACATAGAGATAATATTTGATATGCTCATGCTCATGAATGATAAAAAATGCTTGTGCTCATGCAATGCCAAGGCTAAATGCATGCTTAACACCTAGCAGGGTGTTACAGTTAATGAACTCCATGCATCTACAATGCTGTGTACTCAGGTTTCTTTTGCCTGCTTCACTTATTGTGATCAACAATATCTTTGCTTATTTATTCGGGTTCTTTCTTGGAAGAACACCACTAATCAAGTTGTCCCCAAAGAAAACCTGGGAAGGTTTTATTGGTGCATCAGTGACAACTATCATCTCTGCTTTTCTGGTGTGACTTTGTTAAATTCCCGATTTCCCATCAAGATAATTTTTATAGCAACGTTTGATTTTTTTTGAAATGATGAAATTTTTTAATAGCCTTACCCCCTTGTTTTTATGCACATGTAATGGCACTTTGTCTTGAAGTATAGCCCTACCTATAGATGTGTCTAAATTAGAGGCTTTACTTCTATCTTCTAACACTAAATGTTGCCCTGGTCCTACTGTTGTGTTATAGTGTTGTCCACTTATGGTTTCTTCTGTATGCATGTGTGGTCAATGAATGAGTTACAGGTTACTGAGCACTCATCTTTTCTCTTTTTAGTTATCAGTGACCAGCAAAATTCTGATCTCCCTTCTCATTGATCTCTCCCTCCCTCCCTCCCCCTCTCTCTCTCCCTCCTTCCCTCCCTCCCTCTCGCTCCCGCTCCCGCTCCCGCTCCCTCTCTCTGATAATGAAGCTGGTGACATTGCAATTAATCAAGACTTGCCTGAGATCCAAAGATGACCTGTGGAACAAACCAGCTTATGTTCAAAATTTCAAACCAATTAAGCTAGCCATGATTATTGCATCTAAAAGAGCACTGGCAGGTATGTGGAGGCAGGGTCTGTCTATTCCTTAGTAACTCATTTTCTTTCATTATCAACCTTACAAGTTAAAAGCACGTTGCAATGTGAGGATTTATTTGGCGACTCATGGTTTATGTTCTCCTGGGAATACAACTTTAACAGGTTGATTTTTTTAATATAATCCACTATTAACTTCTGTCTGTAAAAATATTGCTATTTGTTTGTAGTTCAAATGATGTGTTGATCACTTTTCCTTTTTCTGTGGCAGTTAGCAAATGTAATGGGTCGTTCCCAATGGTTGACATGCCCAAGAAAGGTTACATAGATTTTCTTCAGAATATGATTGTTTTATAGTCAAGTTGCTGTCGTATTACTAAATTTGTCATGCAAATAATTTCAGGATCTGTCGACTGGGTGGCTTTATTGTGACCCTGGTCCAATGTTTAAGTCAGAGCATTACTCGTTGGAAGAATGGGTGCCACATTGGGTCAGTAATTTTTTTTTTTTGCTCAATTCATTCATTTTAATATTGTTTCTTGTACTCTAAGGTGGCGTTTTTGCATTGTTCCAATCATAAAGGTTATCTCAAAATAATCGTAGTATGGTCTTTTGAACCTTATACTAGCTCGTATTGCACTTAGACATTTTGCATGGTCTTTGATTGTAATCCCTAATCAATAAGTCATTCCAAAAGAAACAAAGTTTTCCTTCCAAGTGGAAGAGGTGGTTGTCCTAAAAAGCACCAGATTATGTTTCTATTGAGTTGAAGGAATATAGAGGAGTACTAGTAAAGTTAGCGCACTGCTGCAGAAAAGGTTGGTTCTTAATGTATATTGAACTTGAAAAAAAAGGGATACAAGTACAAATTAACTGCAATCCTTTTTGATAAAGCATATTGTAGAATAATACTAGTACATTTGTATTGACGAGAATATCAGTAGATACTTTGACAAATATAACAGATGCCAACTCCATGATATATGGCCACTAAGTATGATGATGTCATATTTATGGAGTCAAAACATACCCATGATTGATCATCGATCTCTTCTGTTAATTTTTTGGAGGGAAGGTAGAGGTTAACAGAAGGGTAGAAATTTATGAAGGGTTTGGACCCAAGCTAACATGAAAGGTCTCACAGATATTTTACTCTGTGAGAATGTCATTGATATGACCCCTCTTCTATTAATGTTGCTGTGTAGAACACAATAGTTTAAATAACTTGCAAATTGGATAAAAAATAGCCATCTTGTAAAATCGATGGAACACATGTGATTGCAAGTTGTAAAATGCACAATGTGTGGTCGGTGGTCCCCCCTGTTCCTTTGACAAAGAAGTTGGGTTGGGGAGGAGGAATCCAGTCTGACAACGAAATAAGACAGTGATCTGTATATGAATATGTGATGGGAGGCACACATGTTCTCAGGGTAGACAATGCTTTGTCTTCTTTTTTCTTCTGACTTCGTTATTTTCTGAAATCAATGAGAAGATCAAGGCTAGTTCTTGATGATAAATCAATGGAGAAGTTACTTTGATATGCCTGCACAACGGTAAAACAATCATAACCAAGCCCCTAGCTTGTGCTTAATAAGGAACTGAGACTAACTCAGTTGGTGGGAGGTGTAGGTGTACAATTGTACATACTCACTAACCAGGTTTGACTCCTTCAAACTTGAACTCAGGCGCTTATTTCTTCATATATCCAATGCCGTCTAGTTCCTCTTGGTTGGTCGAGTTCACTCTGTTTGATTAGACGCGTCTCTTAAGTCTTAACAGTTCCCATGGAAAGAACTAGCCATTATGCCTGTGCAGTGGCATGCTTTAGCCCTGGGTTTGTTGGCATCAATAATAGCACCATTTGGAGGATTTTTTGCGAGTGGCTTCAAGAGGGCTTTCAACATAAAGGTATGTACCACTTCATTGTTTGCATCAATAATATTGTTTTACTCCAATTGATATATCTTTTTTATTTTACAAAATTGTAGGATTTTGGTGACAGCATACCTGGGCATGGTGGAATTACTGACAGAATGGATTGTCAAGTAAGTATCTCAAGAAACGTTCTAGCTATAGGGAAATGTTACTGGCCCATGGTTATGCAAGCTTTTAGCTTTCTCATTCTATCGATATAAGGTAAGATGAGGCCTTTGTGCTGTGGCTAATCTGAACCATAAGCTACAGAACAATCATTTGAACCAAATGTCTAGCGATAATGGCAGGAGTAGCAACCTCATTTTAGGTCTGCCATTCCTCCATTTAGCAAGATTTTATGTTTTCATTTTGTCTGGGCCTAATGTGTCAGGTGTTTCTAAGGGCAATGTTGACCCATAAACCTAGTAAAATTCTGTGGAGAAAGGAGTAATGGTGGGGAAGCCATTTTTTTTTAAAGGCTCGCTCGATTGTATTTGTATTTCTCCTGTGCAAACGTGTGTGTTACCTTTTGTTGAGTATAAATGTGTTTGACTGGAAAAAAAGATTTAATACCAGTCTGTAGACCACACAGCTTAACATAAATTTCTGCTTGCTTTTCCCCCAGATGGTTATGGCAGTGTTTGCATACATATACCACCAATCATTCATTGCACCTCAGAACTTCTCTGTTGAGATAATCTTGGATCAGGTCAGGATCATTATACCTCAATGTTTTATTCTCATTATCTTGAGAGTGATTTTTCCTTTCTTCAAGCAATTTATCTTGCGTGATTCTAACAAATGTCTACCTGTTTTTTCATTCAGATTATAAGAAACCTAGCCTATGAGGAACAAAAATACCTGTACGAGCGACTTGGGGAGATCTTCCATGAGAGGCCATTGACGCAAAGCTCACAGTTAGCGTGCTTATGAAATGCATGATATGTTGTGTATTTAAGCCTTCGGGTAATTCTGTAGCACTAGTTCGTGTATAGCATCATGGCATATTGGCATGACTGTACCGTGATACAGCGGATTCCTTGTCCAAACCACTGTATAGAATGGAGAGAATGCATGAGTTTTAGCCTTTTAGGTGCTTTATTCGCTCTCCACTGACCACTGGTGCTGCCTTGGCCTTCGGCTGTTATCCACATGCCCGGTGCTAGTTCACTTCCCTTTCATCGTTTCTGCACTCCTTGTGAAAGGGGACCTGGAAAGTTCAATTCTTTTCTTATCACTTTGTGGTGCTGGCCTCGACTCAGATCAAATATTCGAGGATTCACAGAATAATTGAATCAGGGCGAATTCTTGTTTTTTTGTCTTTTCACAGCCATCAGGGTCTTCGCTGCATATTTATCATCATGGTTCCAATGGACTATCTAAGTAGCCGGCTGATGTCAGCTTCTGCCCGACATGGACGAGAGGATGATGAAAGGAACGACGCTAGTGTGGGTTCAGGAACCCCACCTAAGTTGCCTACCGGAAACACCAAGTTGTCGAGTGTCCCCAGCTTTGCCGTGGGCAAGATTTCAGGCGCTCCGGCAAACAACATGTTTGCCGAGTGTCCCGAAGACGACACTCGGCAAACATAAAACTCACGGCATAATTGTATACGCCGAGTACCTGCACTCGGCAAACAATAGACACACGGCAACTTCATGTCCGGATAACACCGTCGACCTCCGTTAGCATTTTGCCGAGTGTCACATGTTAACACACGGCAAACCCACATATATGCCGAGTGTCACCATACGACACTCGGCAAACCTTCCTATATACCGAGTGTCACCTTGCGACACTCGGCAAACCTGCCTATATGCCGAGTGTCACCTTGCGACACTCGGTAACTCATGCTATATGCCGAGTGTCACCATCTGACACTCGGCAAACCAATTTTTTTTTATTTTGCCCCCCCCCCCAAACCTTTTGTACTATTGTATTACAATACCTGTTGCTCTGTGTTGAAGTTTTGTACATTTCTGAGTGATTTTACTATATTTCATCAATTTATTTTAGTTAAATGAATTTTCGGTAATTTTTTGGATTTGAACTGCAAGTGCTTCGAATATTCGAAAAAAATGAATAAAAAAATGATATTCTTGTCACTGAGTATGATGTGAGACTGTATCTAGGGCCAGACCAGAAATTTCGAACATCGTGTTCGCGAAACATGACCACAAACGTGTGGCGGAAACGTCTGAAAATTCTATAAAAAGCAAACGAAGTCTGAAAATCATGAAATTCATCGAGTTGTCACGATATCATACGTAGAGGCTATGGTAAAAAATTGAGAATGTTTCGGCACAGTTAACACGTACGCTGCTTACAAATCGGAGCATCTCCAAAGAAGTTTCTGAGATTTGAGAAGTATCCTGTAAGATCTGGAGACAATTTGAATTTCGATTTGGAGTTTCACTTTAAAAAAATTTCTATATGGATTAGAGAACAAAGATCGTTTCCTGTAAAATTTTGGCAATTTTTCGAATCCGTTTGACAATTTTTAATCTTTTTACCGCAATTATTGAATTTTATTTACGATAAATTGGATTTGAACAACAATTACATGAAATGTTGCCCAATAATTTATAAAAGCATCGAACATAAATTTCTAAGTGAATTTAACAAGGATTTTTGTAACTTCATCAGGGAAAAATTGAGTTTTGGAACTAAACAAAGTAAAAAAGCACATGAAATAACGAGTACCTTTGCCGAGTGCCAGAAGGTGGGGCACTCGGCAAAGGTTTAAAAAATGTTTTTTTAAAAGCTGTAAGTAAGAAAGGTTTGCAGCAAAAAAAAGGAAAAAGAAAAATGTTGCCGAGTGCCCCATCGGGCCGGCACTCGGCAAACAGGGCCCAAGAGCGCAAATAGGCCTGGCCACGCCTCCCTCCTCCCTCCTCCCTCCTCTCCCCATTCAATTCACAGCCAGAGCCCCCGGTGCCTCGCCTCCAGCCGCGCCTCCCTCCCCACTGGTGCCGGCCAGCCGCGCCTCCAGCCATCGTTGGGCCTCCGCCTCTGCCGTCGCGCCTACACCTTCACCGCCCCCTGCCCCCGAGCCCTCCCGTGCCCCCGAGCCCGCCCCTACCCGGGCGGTCGCCAGAGACGGGCGCGCGGTGGCACGCCACCACTCCTTCCCGCCCACCAGAAGTGTTGCCGCGCCCGCCCTCCCCGCCCCCGCCTTTACCGGCTGGTCGGCCGAGACGGCCACCGGCCAAGGCACGCCACCACTGCTCCTCCCCCGTCCACCGTAGCAGCGCCCACCGCCGCGCCCACTCCCCCTGTCCCCGCCCCTGCCTAGGTGCTCGTCGGAGAAGGCCGCCGGAGACGACTGCTCTCCCTCCCTCTCCCCTGACACTGACGACTGGGGGCCGCCGCAGCTGGTCCGGCCTCGCCGAGCTCCGGATCGACGTCTCCCAGTTCCTCCCCGCGGCCGTTTCCTCGCCGAGCTCCGGATCGACGCCTTGCCGAGCTCCGGATTGAGCTAGGTGAGCTGACAGAGAACCCGTGCTAAGATTGTTATTACACCGCTGTGCTATATGAAGTTTTGCCCCACTGATTTTAGTTCCTGGAGCAACATGGTCTAAGAATGTTCTACTGTCTATACTCCTATGTGATGGTAATGTTGTAACAGGCTTGCTCGTCGCCTGAAATGGGCAGTGGTACTTCTAGATGCTCCTGGGATGGGTGTATTATATGAGCCTTGCTAGAAACTGCTCTAGTTCCATACCTAACAATTAGCTCTGTGCCAATGTATTGGGTGCTTTTGTCTTATGGTTGTATCATTGCATCCCTTGTCTCATCCTCAATGTGAATGTGGTTATGCTCTTGTTAACTGGGATAGGATTTGGTTCTTTACTTCAGAAATGCTCGAATATTGCATCCTACTCAACCATATGCACCCTTGGTATCTTCAGTTCTTGACCAGTACTTGCTTTTGGTTATTGCTTAGTATACTGCATTTTTTTAGCAAGTGATGCGCCTTGTGTATTTTTTGCATGGGTTTGAACTGGTTCTGTACCATTTTTTTTCTTTAATGAATGATAAACAGCTCTCAGGTGTATTCAGGAAAAAAGTATAGTATTGCGTTTGGAGATACCTGTATTGTGATAACGTCCTTTTGTTCTATGGCAGTGGGTCTTTTTCTATTTAAGTTTCTTGTCATAATATGCCCAAGTACAGAAAAATATTTCTTTTTCTTGGCTTAGCTTGGAAGATATATAGCATTTTAAAAACATATATGCTGCAACGAATATGTGCTTAAGATATATGCTGCAGTTTTGACAATGAATATATGCTTAAGATATATAGCCTTTATGAGATATATGGTGCAATGAATATGTGTGCTTAAGTCAGAAACATGTGCTGTTTGGTATTTATTGTCGAAAATGATCTTATTCCTCTTCATGTAAATGTTCTTTTTGGGATGGAATTCTATGAGCTGTTCCTTTAGTAGATAGCTATATCTAACTTTCTACTCTGCTATGTTTGTTCAACAATATGCATGAGTTATAGTTTCGAGCTGAGCTGACAAGGATCGATAGGTGTGGGGATTGCAGCCATCAAGCAGGGCCGACCGACCCTCTCCAACCGCCTAGGAAGAGCCGGCGCCCCCTCCCAAAGGTAAGGGCCGACTGATCCCGTTCGGTTCATGTGGCTTGTGTGGAATGGCACTCTTCACAAGGGTTTGAGCCCTCCACTTCACATTACCTCCACGAACACGAACCCTCCTTACTATTATTTAAGCATTAATTCTTAATGTCGTGTACATGCAATTGATTCTTAATGTCTCGCTGGTATATATATATATATATATATATATATATATATATATATATATATATATATATATATATATATATATATATATATATATATATATATATATATATATATATATATATATAATGTCAGAGGATGGATGACCGTGAGTGGATGTACACAGGCCGCCCAAGTCAGCGTGCTTTGACTGATGAATGGATTGAGAAGACGGAGGCTTTCATAGATAGAGCATTTGCCCTAGTTCTAGGAGCGTCGGCCATTTGGTGTCCGTGCAGTAGATGTGCAAACAGGCGTCGGCAACCAAAGGATGTCATGTCTACTCATCTTTGCAAGAATGGATTCACGGCAGATTATACTCGGTGGATCTACCACGGTGAAGCCGATCGGATGAGAGAGGAGGTCGTGAGAGCACGCGTCGAAGATTTCGATGCTGATGCCGGGGTAGGTGACTGGCTAAATGACTTTCACGAAGCACACGAGGTGAAGAAGGTGGGGAGGAGGAGCCGAGGCAACCGCAAAGGCGATTATGACATGTTGTCTTGCACGTAAACCCCTTCACAGCCACACAAAGGTTTCTCAACTGGATGCCATTGACGGGTAATGGCCTTAAAGGCTCGATTTAGCATGAGTCGAGATTGTTACGATGCTACGTGGGAGTTATTGGTAGCTTGCTTCCGAAGCTCACATTATGCCAAAGAGCATGTACGAAGTCATGAAACTCCTTCGTGCACTCAAGATGTCATATGAGCAGATACATGCTTGTCCGAAGGGGTGCGTCCTATTTAGGAAAGAACACGAGAAAGCAAAGTACTGTCCAAAGTGTCAATCCTCTAGGTACCTGGAGGTAGAGTCTGGTGATGGTCAGAAGAGGCAGCTTGGGATCCCTCTGAAGATCCTACGGTACCTTCCATTCTTACCGAGGATCCAATGGCTATACATGACCGAGGAAACTGCGAAACAGATGACGTGGCACAAAAATGGCACTCGATACAGTCCTGAGAAGATGGTACATCCATCTGATGGTGAAGCATGGATCCACTTTGATGGGATTCATCGTGAGAAAGCTCTTGAGGCTCGTAATGTACGTGTTGCGCTGGCAACAGATGGGTTCAATCCTTATGGACTGATGGCTGCCCCATACACTTGTTGGCCAATCT